GTGGGAGGAATAATGCCCCATTATTAGAGTCAGTGGGAGGAATAGTGCCCCATCATTGGTGTCAGTGGGAGGAATAATGCCCCATCATTAGTTTCAGATGGAGGAATAATGCCCCATCATTGGTTTTAGTGGGATGATTAGTGTCCCATCATTGGTATCAGTGGAGGAATAGTGCCCCATTATTGGTATCAGTGGGAGGAATAGTGCCCCATCATTGGTGTCAGTGGGAGGAATAGTGCCCCATCATTGGTGTCAGTGGGAGGAATAGTGCCCTATCATTGGTGTCAGTGGGAGGAATAGTGCCCTATCATTGGTGTCAGTGGAAGGAATAGTGTCCCATTGTTGGCATCAGTGGGAGTAATAGTGCTCCATTATTGGTGTCAGTGGAAGGAATAGTGCTCCATCATTGGTGTCAGTATGAGGAATAGTGCCCTATCATTGGTTTCGGATAGAGGAATAATGCCCCATCATTGGTGTCAGTGGGAGGAATAGTGCCCCATCATTGGTATCAGTGGGAGGAATAGTGCCCCATCATTGGTATCAGTGGGAGAGAATAGTGACCCTTCATTGGTATCAGTGGGAGGAATAATGCCCCATCATTGGTATCAGTGGGAGGAATAATGCCCCATCATTGGTGTCAGTGGGAGGAATAGTGCCCCATCATTGGTGTCAATGGGAGGAATAGTGCCCCATCATTGGTGTCAGTGGGAGGAATAGTGCCCTATCATTGGTGTCAGTGGGAGGAATAGTGCCCTATCATCATGGTGTCAGTGGGAGGAATAGTGCCCCATCATTGGTGTCAGTGGGATAATAGTGCTCCATTATTAGAGTCAGTGGGAGGAATAGTGCCCCATCATTGGTGTCGGTGGGAGGAATAGTGCTCCATCATTGGTGTCAGTAGGAGGAATAGTGCCCTATCATTGGTTTCGGATAGAGGATTAATGCCCCATCATTGGTGTCAGTGGAAGGAATAATCTGAAATTATTGTTGTTAGTGGAAGGAATAGTGCCCCATTGTGGTGGGGGAAAAAATCTGAAGAATATATTTAAAAAAATATATTTTCTAAAATGTATTTTTTTATAATATATTCTTCAGATTTTTTTTTAACATATAAAAAAGTCATTTTAACATATATTTTTACATATTTTTTTTTACATATATTTGTAAATGCATTCTGAAAATGTAGCTTGGTATGTTTAAAGACATACAGATATTTGAAAATGTATTTTTAAAAATATGTTTCATACATTTTGTAATAAAAACACATTTCAACATACAGTATATATATATATAAATATATTGAAATGTATTGAATATGGCCTAAATTGTAGCATTTCAAATATATGTCAGTATATTTGGGAAGAATATTTTTTAATATATTTCAAATATATGTTTCTTCCATGTGGGAAGTGATCTGCATGTGTATGGAAGCTCCAATTATATATCGGGGTATTTTGCTTTTCTAGCTGCAGCACTTCATCTACATTTGGAAGACTTTCTGGAGTACTCCGGGCTTCTCCAACAAGCTGTCTGTGATATTTAAAGGTCCAGGATGGGGACCTGGAAAACCTCGCCTCGGCCTTCCTGAGGAACTTCCAAAGGTAAAGCATACAGATCCTAAATCATGTCAGCAATGACAGATGAAATCAGATGAGGTGCTGATGGAAGTCCAACAACAATATGTTTTGTGGGGCAGATGACAGATTTGCTGCCAAGGTGTAGCTTCCCTCTGCCATCTTAAATGAGGTTGCCAAGTATATCAAGTATTTAGATTGCCTGTCAGTTGATTTATTTATCCATTTATTTTTTGAATTTACAAGATCATAAAATGATATTAATATCATGAAAATATTCTTATACATTTTTAATTAAAAAAAAAATACACTTTTAAATAGGATGGTTCCATGACACTTTCCTGCATGCTTGGAGGCATCCTGTGTATTACTGACTACACCAGAGAATCCTGTCTCTGCTAGGAGAAAGAATTTGTTCCACATCTGAGTCCATTCAATGTATCTTTTTGTTTGCTTTTAGTATTTTAATGAGCTGTTTCTAATCTAATCTGCCATCCTAATTGTTCATTATGTAATGGGCTGTAGGACCCAGGTCCAGGGGCGGACTGACAACTCATGGGCCCCGGGCAATAGGGGATCATGGGGCCCCTGTGTCCTTGCCCAAACTAAAAAAAGCCTATGAAAAAGGTACCAAGGGCATCTCATGGGGCATCCAACACAACAAACACTTTACTCCTGCGCTAGGAAACGACTCAGTAGACCCAATAGGAATGTTCTGGAATTTTCTGGAATATGCACTGCTTGCTGCCCTCAACAGACCGGGGTGGTCCGAATACACTGGATACAAATGGAGAAACAGAAAAAGAAAGAGAAACAGAAAAAGGGCACACCAACCTAGTGGATTATCGTTTAAAATAATTTATTAAAGAAACAAAAATAGGTATCCTACTCACAATGGATATAACACAGGCATGTCAAACTGAACAAGGTGTATGATCCAAACAACATCTGAGTCCATACAATGGAACCCTGGATGACCAACTGGTTAACGCATTTCGAGGACACAACCTCTTCCTCAGAGCCAACTGGCTAACGCGTTTTCGAGGACACAACCTCTTTCTCAGAGCCAACTGACCCCGGGCCCTCGGGCAGTGCCCGAGTTTCCAAATGGTCAGTCCGCCCCTGTCCAGGTCTTATAATAAATGATTTCATGAAGTGGCCTGTCACTCATTCCATGCTGTACCCAGGGGCGGGCTGACCATTTGGAAACTCGGGCACTGCCCGTGGGCCTGGGGTCAGTAGGGGTCCCCATGATCCCCTATTGCCCGGGGGCCCTATGAGTTGTCAGTCTGCCCCTGGCTGTACATGACCCTTTAGGGCTCATGTACACGGGACGTTTAGAAAACTCTTCTGACCGCTGGAAACTGACTACTGGAAAACGTAGGTTAAAAAACGTCAGTTTATATACCGCGTTTATGCGCCGCAGCATGCTCGCTCCTGAGCTGTTGCTCTATTCATCCATAAGACACATAGAGCTGCGGCTCAGCCCCCCTCCCAACACTCTCTCCTCATTGGCTCACTGGCTGTGATTGACAATGAGGAGGGAGAGTCCCCATACAGCCGAGGCTATTGTGAACATCGCTGGATCGGAGGGGGCTCAGGTAAGGATTGAGGGGGGCTGCGGGGGCCACTGCATACAGAAGGTTTTTTATGAAGTTAAAAGAATCTTTGAGGTTTTAGGACCACTTTAAGTTTAAACTTGTAATCATTCCAGTTGTTGCTTTTTTGGTGAGTTCATTTTTCTATGAGATGATGGGAAATAGTGATGTATAAACACCGCATGGATGAACTGCATTGCAAGGGCAAACATACAGGGGTTGCAGGGGTCGCAATTACCACTCAGCCCCATGCTGCAGGGGGCCACAGCAGCCCTCTGTACACCTGGATAAGAGGGGCAGCTGCAGGAGCAAAATGGAGGGGATTGGTTTCTCTACATGCTGCCTCTTCTATCCACCTCCTGCTGTGCTCCCCTGGAACCCCCCTCCCCCCCCCCCACACACACAAAGTGCTGCTGGGTTCCCCTCTCCCACTGGCTGTGGGGGATTCTGTCAGGATGGAGAGCGGGGAAGGGACCACTAAATGTGTCATTTACTGGCCCCTTTCTTGTCATAAAGAACATACCAATCACTGACTCTGCCTATTAATAGCTGAAGCATAGTAAACTGTGTTTACTATGTTTCGGTTTGTGCATGAATGGGAAGCTCTGTACACAACTATTCCTAGCCATTCATTCGGTGCATCTGAGGCTGCAGAGATGGAGATTGAGGGCTGTGTCCTCAAGCTCCTTTCTCTGTCTCAAAGGTGAAACATCAAAGGTCTGTTTAGACCGCTGATATTTCATCAAAGCCCCCCAATGGGGCTTCAAAAAAATAAAAAATATAAAAATTTAAAAAACCAAAACAAAATAAAATGATAAAAAAAAATAAAAAACTAAATAAAAATAAAAACTACTGACACCAGTGGCAGAACTACCAGGGTTGCAAAGGTGGCCCTTGTGACTGGGTCCTGCTGCTCCACCACCATGGAGGGTGGGCCCTAGCCAAGGGTCAGGGGAGCCCTTTATAGTGTCTTGCACTGGGGCCCTGAAGGTTCTAGTTACGCCTCTGCTGCATTAAAGCGGAGCTCCGCCCAAAAGGAGAAGTTCTGCTTTAAGCCTTTGTTTCCCGCTCCCCATTAAGGATTGGCACCTTGGGGAGCGGGGAGAGGGGGAGCGGGTCCCCGAATTTGACAGGTACCCGCTCCCACTTCTGCTGCAATCTCCTAGGTGGTTGGAAGCGGAAGTTGTCCTCCCCCCTCCCTCCCTGCAGTCTTCTGGGACACGTGACAGGTCCCAGGAGACTACGGGGCCATTCACAAAGCACAGCGCTTCTCGCGCATGCGCAGTGGGTCCCGCAAGCTGTCACAGCCGATGTCCACACTGAAGATGCCGGCACTGGGGAGAGAAGACAGCCGGTGAAACCAGCCCTGGTAAGGACACCGCCGGACCGAGGGACAGGTAAGTGGCTGGATTTGAAAAGTCAGCAGCTAAAGTGTTTTTAGCTGCTGACTTGTACTTTTTCAGCTGGAGCTCCACTTTAATAAACATATGTGGCCTTTAGCTGGTGAGTGCAGCTCCACCTATAACAGCTGGACAGGTGCTGCATTCCCCGCACAGTGTAGGTACGACCATCCCGGGTGCACAGAGGGGAGCATTCCTCTGTAACACTTCACTATCTGCCAATGATTTCCAAATAAAAATATGATGAATATGATATGATGATGATGATGATGAATAGTGATGAATATGATGATGATGATAGTGATGATGATGAATGATGATATGATGATGAATAAATAGATGATGAATATGATGATGACATGAATAGTGATGAATATGATGATGATGAATAGTGATGAATATGATGATGATGAATAGTGATGAATATGATGATGATGAATAGTGATGAATATGATGATGATGAATAGTGATGAATATGATGATGATGATGATGAATAGTGATGATGATATGATATGAATATGATGAATATGATGATGAATGTGATGATGATGATGATGGATGATGATATGATGATGAATATGAAATGATGAAATAGTGATGAAATGATGATGATGAATATGATGAATGATGTGATGAATAATGATGATGAATTGATGATGATGATGAATGTGATGAATGATTGATGATGAATAGGAAATATGATGAATTGATGAGTGATGAATATGATGATGATGAATAGTGATGAATATGATGATGAATGATGAAATATGATGATGATGAATAGTGATGAATATGATGATGATAGTGATGTGATGAATATGATGAATTGAATAGTGATGAATTTGATGTATGATGATGAATTGATGATGAATGATGATGATGAATATGATGAATATGATGATGATGAATGATGAATAGTGATGAATATGATGATGATGATATGATGATGATGATGATGATGAATAGTGATGAATATGATGATGAATAGTGATGAATGATGAATGATGAATATGATGATGAATATGTGATGATATGATGATGATGATAGTGATGAATGATGATATGATGATGAATATGATGATGATGAATAGTGATGATGATATGAATGAATATGATGATGAATAGTGATGATGATGATGAATAGTGATGAATATGATGAATGTGAATAGACGATGAATAGTGATGAATATGGATGATGATGAATAGTGATGAATATGATGATGATGATGAATAGTGATGAATATGATGATGATGAATAGTGATGAATATGATGACGATGAATGAGTGATGATGATATGATATGATGATGATGAGTGATGAATATGATGATGATGAATAGTGATGAATATGATGACGATGAATAGTGATGATGATGATATGATGAATATGATGATTTAGTGATGAATATGATGATGATGAATAGTGATGAATATGATTGAAGGATGATGATGAATAGTGATGAATATGATGAATATGATGGTTTGAATAGATGATGAATATGATGAATGGATGAATAGTGATGATGAATATGATGATGATGATGATGATGATGATATAGTGATGAATATGATGACGATGAATAGTGATGAATATGATGACGATGAATAGTGATGAATATGATGATGATGATGATGAATAGTGATGAATATGATGACGATGATGAATATGATGAATATGATGATGATGAATAGTGATGAATATGATGATAGTGATGAATATGATGATGATGAATGTGATGATATGTGATGAATGATGATGATGAATAGTGATGAATATGATGATGAATAGTGATGAATATGATGACGATGATGAATAGTGATGAATATGATGATATGATGAATAATAGTGATGAATATGATGATGATGATGATGAATATGATGATGATGAATAGTGATGAATATGATGATGATGAATGATGATGAATAGTGATGATATGATGATGAATAGATGAATATGATGATGATGATAGTGATGAATGATGATGATGAATAGTGATGAATATGATGATGATGAATAGTGATGAATGATGATATGATGATGAGTGATGAATATGATGATGATGATGATATGATGATGATGTGATGAATATTGATGATGAATAGTGATGAATATGATGATGATGATGAATATGAGTGATGAATATGATGATGATGAATAGTGATGAATATGATGATGATGATGAATATGATGATGATGAATAGTGATGATGATGATGATATGATGAATAGTGATGAATATGATGATGATGATAGATGATGAATGATGAATATGATGATGTGATGAATATGATGAATATGATGATGATGATGAATAGTGATGAATATGATGATGATGAATAGTGATGAATATGATGAAGATGAATAGTGATGAATATGATGATGATGATGATGATGATGATGATGAATAGTGATGAATATGATGATGATGAATAGTGATGAATATGATGATGATGAATAGTGATGAATATGATGATGATGATGAATATGATGATGATGATGATAGTGATGAATATGATGATGATGATGATGAATAGATGATGAATAGTGATGATGATGATGATGAATAGTGATGAATATGATGACGATGAATAGTGATGAATATGATGATGATGATGAATAGTGATGAATATGATGATGATGAAATAGTGATGATGATGATGATGATGATGAATAGATGATGAATGATGATGATGAATGATGAGATGATGAATATGATGATGATAGATGATATGTGATGATTGAATATGATGATGATGAATAGTGATGATATGATGATGATGAATAGTGATGAATATGATGATGATGAATAGTGATGATATGATGATGATATTTTTTGCAGGTCACTGGAGAAGAAGAGCCGTATGATCCCAAAGTATCCATGGCTGTACAGATCTACTCCGGCATACACTTTATCCTCCTCCTCGCCATCTATCAGCACATGTTTGCAGCCAAGTCTGTAAGTCGTTTCTTTTCGCTGGATCTTTGCCACAAAGGTGAAGCTTTTCTAACTAATACGCGTCTCTGGAAAGTCATTAACATTAAACATTTGACTTCAGTCATATTAATAATATAACGACGGATATTATAAGTGGAGACAAGTACGGAAATTTTGCTAAAACTGATAACCTCAAAACTTACTGTTGTTGAAGTTTCAGCCAAATCGGTCCTAAATTTGAGGACTGCTTAGGCAATTTTTTGGTTAAAACCATGTGATGTCAGCATAATAAGTGATACCCTGTAAATGTAGTTCTTTTGATGTATACCCTATGGGCAGCACAGTGGCTAAATGGTTAGCACTTCCACCTGGCAGTACTAGGGTCATTGGTTTGAATCCCAACCACGGCACCACCTGCCTGGAGTTTGCATGTTCTCCCTGTGCCTGTGTGGGTTTCCTCCCACACTCCAAAGACATGCTGGTAGGTTAATTGGATCCTGTCTAAAGTGGCCCTAGTATGTGTATGTATGAATGTGAGTTAGAGACTTTAGATTGTGCACCCCTTGAGGGTTAGGGACTGATATAATGTACAATATATATGTATGTAAAGCGCTGCACAAATTGACAGCGCTATATAAGTACCTAAAATAAATAAAAAATATACACCTAGAAAGAGATACATTTCCTAAAGAAGACATTTCTTTTACAAAGAATTTTATTGCAGAATAGATAACAGCAGAGAATCAGTCAAAAACAGATGCACTGACTGTCAGGGATAAAACATACAAGTTTTCTGGTGAATAATACAGAGTATGTACTGATGGAAAGACAAGAAAATAAACTTCATACACAAGTGCCGTATATAAAAAAGGAAAACAAAACAATAAGTTGCAAAAATGGTAGACATTTAGAAACCATGACATAATAAACTAAAAGAAAAAGTTGTGACTATATCAGCATACAGAAGGCGGGGAAGATGGAAGATGGAGCCTCACTGAATGCATATTGGTACTCCACATGCAGGGTTCTCGATGGAGTCCGGCATATGGATAAAGGTGTCCGTTTATGAACCAGCGGTAAATGATCGCTGCTCAGTTCTCCGGCATTCTCGGAGAACACAGTTCTCCTGTGAATGCCTTTTATGAAGCAGTTCTCTGAACAAAGAGAGAACGGTCTACAAACGCTGGAAACCGGTGATTTTACTATAGTCTCACGAGATTACAGTAAAAGATCAGTTTACTAAACAGAGGTAAATTATCGCTGCTTAGAGTCCGTTTATGAACCAGCGATAAATGATCGCTGCTCAGTTCTCCGGCATTCTCGGAGAACACAGTTCTCCTGTGAATGCCTTTTATGAAGCAGTTCTCTGAATGGAGGGAGAACGGTCTCCAAACGCTGGAGAACGGTCTGCAAACGCTGGAGAACGGTCTCCAAACGCTGGAGAACAGTCTCCAAACGCTGGAGAACGGTCTCCAAACGCTGGAGAACGGTCTACAAACGCTGGAGAACGGTCTCCAAACGCTGGAGAAACGGTCTACAAATGCTGGAGAACGGTCTACAAACGCTGGAGAATGGTCTACAAATGGTGGAAAACGGCTGATTTTACTATAATCTTGCGAGATTACAGTAAAAGATCAGTTTACTAAACAGAGGTAAATTATCTCTGCTTAGTTTGCGGTCCCTCCGATTCTCCAGCTCTGGGTTGGAGAATCTGGAGGGAGAACACAGATCTCCAGCAAAGAGTTGAACAGTTCTCCGCTGATCTCCTGAGTGTCATAAACTGTGAATGACCAGAGAATAGCTGCGATCCTCTGAATCGCAGCTATTCTCTGTGTCATAAACGGACACATAGTATTGCTGGTACGGTACTCAAGGCAGAGAAAATCACAATCAGCACAATATCGTAAAAAAATTCAGACTAAACAGAATGAAAGAGAGGAATGAAGAGAAAGGAGGATCACGACGGAAAAAAAAGAAAATAATATGTCAATTTTATATTGACAAGAGGGACTGGTTGAATCTCGACGGTTGGGCTATATCAAGCCAGGGACGCCAGGTCTGCAGGAACTTTGTATGGGTGTCTAACAGTATAGCTGTCAGCTTTTCATTAACCATTATAAAGTTCATCCGATTTTTAACCCTTTGAGGACCATAAGATTTCGGAACGTCAAAAGAATCAATTTTTTGTTTTTAAAGTTTGTACACTTCAGTTGCTGTAACTAAGCCATTTCATGAAATGATTGGCAAAAAGCTAGATCCATTTGTTGATAAGAACTAATATTTTGACTCAAACCAAAAAAAAAAAAGAAGTATTTTAAGTTCTTAATCAGATGATACACGCAATTAAAAACATGGGACAAATGCGTCCCTTGGTCCTCAAAGGGTTTTAACAGCCTCGAAGCTGAGGAGGGGAGTCTTCCAAGCCCTCGCGATCGTCAGCTTGGTAGCCATGAATAGATACGATGCCAGCTGCCGTTCAGGACAAAGTAGGCCCACTAATGGTTTAAATAAGAGCGCTTCATACGGGTTACGCTTAACCTCCCTAGCGGTATGATTCTTTCCGATTTTTTGTGCTGAAAGCGGTACATTTTTTTGCATGGAAATATGTAGTTTTTTATTGTAGGCTGTAATTTTTAGGAATAACTCACTGAAATCTGTCCGAACAAGAGTCTAGTAAACATCCCGGGTATGATAAAATTTGAAACACGAAATCATAAATTATAATTTAATAAATAATCATAAAAAATAATAATATAATAATAATACATTTAATGCAATAATATAATCAAACCAAAAACACTGAAATTTGAAATACAGAGGCAAATTCGCACATCGCTGAGCAAAGTCGCAAAATCGTTTTCAGTGTCTGATGACGAATTTCCCCCACGAATCATTATCACTCAATTCTGCAAGTGGTTCTGATTTACTATCCCTGTTTTAAAACCGCTTTTGACATAAAGGGATGCTTTTTGGACGCCATGGACTTTTCTAAGTTTCCAGGCAGAAAGAACATTCAAAATGCAGGCAGGGCGCCGGACAAAGCAGTAGGGACCAAATATATGTGAAATGCATTGAAACAGCAATGACAGCAAAAATGACATTTTTAAAAAAATTCAAATTTCCCGCCGGTTCCGGTGCCCGTACGTCCCGATGTCACAGGGACTGGAACACGGAAGCCGGATGCCGGCATCGGCCGGAGGAAATGGCCGGGGACGCTGCAGGGGACACATCGCGGGAGAGCAGGACAAGGTAAGTACTGCAGGGACCCCCAGAGAACGCCGCATGGTAAGCCCGAGTGTAGCTCGGGGTTACCGCTCTTGGTATAGAAATTTTACCCCGAGCTACACTCGGGAATACCGCTAAGGAGGTTAATGTCTGTGTGAAACATAATGCGGAGAAGGGCATAAACCCTGATCCACAATCTACAAACCTTGGGGAAAGTCCACCAAATAGCTAAAGAAGACATTTCATTGGTCTATTAGGTAATACATACATAAATCAGTTGTACTGTTTCAGCCCGGGTTCACATATATGTGGTGCGGTATATCACATGTGATTCGCAGAAGAACCGCACCACATTCCTGTGCAAATCACATGCGATTTGTGTGCGGTGAGACTGGAGCCATACATTTTGTATGGCTCTAATAGCACTGCACCCGCACCAAAAATGTGCAGGACCCTTTTTTTGGTCCGCACTAGAATCAGATTGCATGGGTATTCACACCTATGCGATCTGATTCTGCACATCGCACCGCATTTTGCAGTCCGCTTTCGGGGTGTTGTTAACTGAACATACACACCCGCAGCGGTTCACATGAACGGGGTGCAATTCTGATGCGGTTCGGAATTCACACAGAAAACGCTGCGAATTCCGGGCCGCATCAGTGTGAACCAAGGCTCAATGCAAGCAGTGTAAGTTACTGAATTTGACCTCATCTGTTTGCAATCTCTTGTACTGCAGAGCTCAGACTGAGAGAGGAAAAAGCAACACCATGAGCCCATCTGTTCATATGCTAACAAGGAACATGCTGATAAGATGAGAGAACAGAGTGACAGAGAGATGAATTCAGCACTTTGCTGCTTCTCCTTTCACTGTAGATGACCTGGATTCAGATGAAGTGGGGTGAATGATGTTGGCTATCAAACTGAGGACATCTAGTGGCAGAATAAAGCACTGCTGTGCTGCAGCACCTATATGCTAAGAAGGAGCATGCTAATTAGAGGAGAGAGCAGAGTGATAGAGAGATGAGCTTATCACTGTGCTGCTTCTTCTTTCACTGTCCATCCACAGGCTGGGGGCTGGTCCGGGATGACCTGAATTATGGAGAAGTGGGGTGAATGATGTTGGCCATCAAACTCAAGGAATCTAGAGGCAGAAAAAAGTACTGCTGTGCTGCAGCACTTATATGCTAAGGAGGAGCATGTTAATTAGAGGAGAGAGCAGAGTGACAGAGAGATGAGCTTATCACTGTGCTGCTTCTTCTTTCACTGTCCATCCACAGGCTGGAGGCTGGTCTGGGATGTCCTGAATTTAGGAGAAGTGGGGTGAATGATGTTGACCATCAAACTCAGGGAATCTAGAGGCAGAAATAAGTACTGCTGTGCTGCAGCACTTATGTGCTAAGGAGGAACATGCTAATTAGAGGAGAGAGCAGAGTGATAGAGAGAGATGATCTTATCACTGTGCTGCTTCTTCTTTCACTGTCCATCCACAGGCTGGGGGCTGGTCCGGGATTACCTGAACCTAGGAGAAGTGGGGTGAATGATGTTGGCCATCAAACTCAGGGAATCTAATGGCAGAAAAAGTACTGCTGTGCTTCAGCACTTATATTCTAAGAAGGAGCATGTTAATTAGAGGAGAGAGCAGAGTGACAGAGAGATGAGTTTATCACTGTGCTGCTTCTTCTTTCACTGTCCATCCATAGGCTGGGGGCTGGTTCGGGATTACCTGAACCTAGGGGAATTGGGGTGAATGATGTTGACCATCAAACTCAGGGAATCTAAAGGCAGAAGAAAGTACTGCTGTGCTTCAGCACTTATATTCTAAGAAGGAGCATGTTAATTAGAGGAGAGAGCAGAGTGACAGAGAGATGAGATCATCAGCATGCTACTTTTCCTTTACCTGTCCATTAGGGATGGGACAAGGTGTGTAAACAGTAACTTTAGCAGAGAAAAGGCAGGTTTCCTGCCTTGCCAGACAAGACTGTGCTGTTGGCAGAGCTGTGAAAATTTTAGGGCTGGATGGTCAGGAATAGAAATGCTTTGACGAGTAATGCAGCTCCCATAAGTGGATTTACTGTAATTGGTGTATTTAGTTTTTGTTTGTCTAGAGTCCAGCTTTAAGACATTTATGATGGTAGGACAGAGATGGTAAGCCATAAAAGGAAGGATTTATTTTTCTCTGAGGAGTTTAACTGGATGGATTTGTGTCTCTTTTCAGCCAGACAAACTATGTAACTATGTAATTACATATACATAACATTGTGCAAAAGCAAATGTATCCATTTTTTATTAGACATCAAAGTTTCATTTCAGCATCTGCCCTGAGATTATATAAACAGCCACGTGACCCCATAATGGAGTTTTCGGCAGAATGGATGCCTGGAGCAAACACTTCTGCCTGAAGGCATGACTTTGCCTGAGAGCTGATCACAGGATCCATGGAGGGATTCCTGAAATCTGCATAGTGTGGACTGAATGTTCATTTGCATTAAACATTGGCTGGAGCGAAGGCAGAAATTTGTGTCCTTGCATGCAGAGGGCTCACACCTGCTTTTCATGCCAAATGCATTGTAAATGAATGGACACACAGGGTTTTTTTTTTACAAAAAAGTAAAAATTATTATTAGCCAAATTCAATGGGAATATCGAATTGTAGTCAAGCTCTTGTGTCTAGAGTAGGGATGAAGTAATAATGAAGAACAGTGGTAGTCGGCACTTGACATCTGCAAATGTATTACGTATATGTATTGTGTATATCTAATGCTACAGAAGACTGTCAGAGACTGCAGGCCTAATTATACAGGAGATGGTCAGAGACTGCAGGATTAAATCAGGAGTTGGTGGGGGAATCCAGACCTAATAAAAAAAAAAAAGCTGGTCAGAGACTGTGGACACAATACAGGAGGGGATTAGAAATTACAGACCTACTAAAGGAGCTGACCAGAGACTACGGAGATACTACAGAAGATGGTCAGAGACTGCAAACATACTACAGGAGATAGTCGGAGACTGCAGACATACTATAGGAGATAGAGACTGCAGACATACTACAGGAGATAGAGACTGCAGACATACTACAGGAGATAGAGACTGCAGACATACTACAGGAGATAGAGACTGCAGACATACTACAGGAGATGGTCAGAGACTGCAGACATACTACAGGAGATAGAGACTAGAAACATACTACAGGAGATGGTCAGAAACTGCAAACATACTACAGGAGATGGAGACTAGAAACATACTACAGGAGATGGTCAGAAACTGCAAACATACTACAGGAGATAGAGACTGCAAACATACTACAGGAGATAGTCGGAGACTGCAGACATACTATAGGAGATAGAGACTGCAGACATACTACAGGAGATGATCAGAGACTGCAGACATACTACAGGAGATGGTTAGAGACTGCATACATACTACAGGAGATGGTCAGAGACTGCAAACATACTACAGGAGATAGAGACTTCAGACATACTACAGGAGATGGTCAGAGACTACAGACATACTACAGGAGATGGTCAGAGACTGCAAACATACTACAAGAGATGGTCAGAGACTACATACATACTACAGGAGATAGTCAGAGACTGCAGACACACTACAGGAGTTCATCAGAGACTGAAGACATCATACAGGAGATGGTTAGAGAAAGCAGACCTACTACAGAAGATGGTCAGAGACTGAAGAAATACTACAGGAGATGGTTATAGACTGCAGATATGATACAAGAGATGTTAAGAGACTGAAGACATCATACGGGAGAAGATGGGCGAAAAATGCAGACGTACTACAGGAGATGGTTAGAGAACGAGACTGAGGAAATACTACAGAAGATGGTCAGAGACAGCAGATATGCTACAGGGCATGGTCAGAGATTGCAGACATACTACAGCAGATGGTCAGAGTATGCAGAAATACTACAGGAGATGGTCAGAGACTGCAGACATACTACAGGAGATGGTCAGAGACTGAATACATACTACAGGAGATGGTCAGAGACTGAAGACATACTACAAGAAATGGTCAGAGACTATATACCTACTAAAGGAGATTGTCAGAGACTGAAGACATACTACAGGAGATGGTCAGAGACTGCAGACATACTACAGGAGATGGTCAGAGACTGAAGACATCATACAGGAGATGGTCAGAGAATGCAGAAATACTGCAGGATTAAATTAGGAGTTGGTGGGGGAATGTAGACCTAATAAAAAAAAGCTGGTCAGAGACTGTGGACATTCTACAGTAGATGGTCAGGGACTGCAGAAATACTACAGGAGATGGGCAGAGACTGAAGACATACTACAGGAGATGGTTGCATTTCCGGGTAGGGGGCACGCACAAGCCGCACGAGCGCCCTACCAGTGCCGCCATTCGCGGCTGTCAATCACATAATTACTCACCAGCATCCTGTGATTTCCGAAGATCTCCAACAGGGAGGAGGACTGGTTTGTTTACTAACAGTTCTCCTCCCTGTCAGCTCCGGCACACTGCTCTGGATGGCTGTGCACAGCACAGCCATCCAGAGCAGTGAAGCACACACACCCCCCCTCCTCCCCCCCCCCCCAGTAAAACACTCCCAGCACACAATTAACCCTTTGCTGAATTTTTGCTGCGTTTTACATGTTTTGTTTTGTTTTTTTCGTTTTTTTTTTATTTTATTTTTCTTGTTGCTAGGCAGATTTAACACACAAGACGCATCAAAAATGCAGCAAAAACACATAAAAAATGCAACACATGCATTTCTGCAGCGTTCCCATTGAAGTCTATAGAACCAAACACACAATGTTTTGCATTCAAAAAAGTCCCTGACCCTTTCCAAAAAATGCACCGGGTGAAAATGCCTAGATGCGAACCTGCCCCTTAGGAAATCACGTTAAATGGATTGTACTACGTTTCTGCAAAACGCCGCGGAAAACGCTTAGGTGTGAACCTGGGGTAAGCGAATCCCTCTAATGAAACAAATAGTAAAAAGTGTTCTTATGTCTGTAAACAGATGTTATCCCCGATATCGCTCCTGGCCAGGATCCTCTACATACTCCTGATGTTGACGTCTCTGGGATTCCTGCTGGAGAACAGGCAAGTGGTTCATCTGTTACCTTGCAGCTGCTTTATCCCAGACCTCCCTCTGATTATACGTTTCCTTCTCCCATCTCTGTGTAATTAGTCGTTCTTCCTAATAAATGATCTAAGCGCGGTAACCTTGTCTCTTTCCTGAACGCCGCCCAAAAAAAAAAAAAACCCGCAGTAGCGCTTTAGTACATGATACAGGGGGATAATTACACAGCAGGATCTTCGCCATGTGAGAGAATAATTATGGTTACAATTTGTACTGATGGCAAAGCAATAATAATCAAATTACTTTTAAAGTATAGAAGATATCATTAAAAGGTTGTCAGGGATTTCCCTCGGGGGGGGGGGGGCGTTTTCTTTGACGGTGACGTCAGCCACGTTCCTAGTAGAAAAACGTCCCTAATGCGCCATACACACGATAAGAAAATCGTCCGAAAAATGTAGCGGTGCCACTGATCGAACGATTTTCTTTTCGTTGATGAGCGGGATGTTTTTACCGATAACGATATTGTGAACGAACAAAATCTGGTTGAACAACAGTGAAAAATGTTGTTGTTTCGCATACGATCGATTTTCTATGCGGTGGTATGACGGTCGTACGAAAAAAATCAAGCAGTTTGTGTTTTGGGCATGTGACCCCAGGCGCATACTTCCCCAATCACTAGTATCTGTATATAGATTGTATAGCGAGCGCTACTGCAAAGAAAGCTTATTTAAAATATGTATATAAGCCGCTAGAACACCAAAAAGGTAACCAATAAACCCTTCCAAAGAACTGTACAAATAATAAAGGTGCAGCGCTAAGAGTAGGAGTAATATCATGCAAATATCAACAGGGAAAGAGAACAGAGATTATTGGTCAAAAATCAATAAAGGTGAAGGTAAATAAATCAGTGGAATGCGCACTCACCAGAAGTGCGTTTAAAATACGCATGAAAGAAGTTTCCACCCTCCGCAGTGCCTATTCTAAAAGGGGACCCCGGATGTGTGCGATTGTCTGATGAACCCTGGAGCCCTGTCATAACGGATGACCAAAGGATGTTTGGGAGTGCAGCCTGACCAGAACGCAGATGACCTAGATGTATCTGTTGATAGAGGAAACTTCTTTCATGTGTATTTTAACCGCATGCCGCCCAGCCACTGTACATATATGGCGGCAGGGCGGCACTCACAGGCAAAACCACGTTTTAAGACGTGTGTTTTGTAAACAAATAGGGGGCGCGCACGAGGTGCGCCGCCGCCCTATTTGTCCCGCGGTTCTCTGCCGCAGATGTGAGTCGCCGGGTCACAGCTGCTCCTTAGCGGCTATGTCCCGGCGATCGGCGGCAAACAGTGACAGAGAGCACAGCTGCAGTAGCCATAATTCGCTGATCGCCGCCATTATTAGTATAAAAAAAACCCCTAAAAATCCCAGTATCTTTCCCGCCATTTGTAAACGCTATAACTTTCACGTAAACCAATTAATTTACACGGATTGGGTTTTTTTTTTGGCAAAGACATGTCGCAGAATGCATTTTGGCAGAAATTTATGACTAAATTAGATTTTTGCATTTTTTTTTACTGGACATGTTTTATAGCAAAAAATCGAAAATATTGTTTTTTTTTTTCCTCAAAATTGTCAGACTTTTTTTTTATAGCGCAAAAAATAAAAACCGCACCGGCGATCAAATACCACCGAAAGAAATCTCAATTTGTGGGGAAAAAAAGGATGTAAATTTCATTTATGTACCGTATTGCATGACCGCGCAATTGTCTGTTAAACTAGCGCAGTGCTGTATAGCAGAAAAATGGCGTAAATTGCAGTATCTATCCCATAGTTTGTAGACGCTATAACTTCCACACAAAGCAATCAATATACACTTATTGGGATTTTTTTTTACCAAAAACATGGAGCAGAATACATTTTGGCCTAAATTTATAACCAACTTTGAGTTTACTATATATTTTTTATAGCTGAAAATAAAAAATATTGTTTTTTTCTTCAAAATGTTTGGCCTTTTTTTGTTTATAGCGTGAAAAATAAAAAGAGCACAGATGATCAAATACCACCGAAAGAAATCTCTATTTGTGTGAAAAAAAGGACGTAAATTTCGTTTGGGTGCAGCATTGCATGACCGCGCAATTATCAGTTGAATTAGTGCAGCGCCGAGTAGCAAAAAGAGGCCTGGTCATTAAGGGGGGTAAATCCTCAGGAGCTCAAGTGGTAAACGCACTTCTGGTGAGTGCACATTTCACTTATTTATTTACCTTCACCTTTGGATCACTTATCTTCACCGATAGACGGGACCCTGCAAGATTCCTATACTCACATTTCTTGTGATTTTGGACATTATATTGATTTTTGACCAATAATTTTATATTACCCAATGTGCCCTTGATAACCAATCTACACATTGTATATTTCTTAATCTCTGTTCTCTTTCCCTGTTGATATTTGCATGATATTACTCCTACTCTTAGCGCTGCACCTTTATTATTTGACCCATTTAAGGCAGATGTGCTAACCACTAAGCCACTGTGCCACCCGCACCTTCCACCCGCATGAGTCTCATGCATCAGGGCTGAACGTTCCGTGTGTTTGAGGCCTAAGGCTCCGTTCACACCTGTGCAGTTTACGTTTTTGCCCGTTTTGCAGTGCTTTTTGCAGTTTGTTATGCCTTTTTCTACACGTGTTTTTGCTGTGTTTTTTACCGCGTTTTTGCATTTTGTTCAGCTCTTTATTTTACTGGGCAGAGTAAAAATGCAAAACACAAAACGTGGCAAAAACACTGGAAAAAAGTGGCAAAAATGCACTACCATGCATTTCAGCAGAGTCTCCATTGAACTCTATTGTAGCAAAAACACTGTTTTTTGCTTTTAAAAAAAAGTCCCTGACCCTTTCCAAAAACACAGCGGCTCAAAAAAGCACAAATGTGAACATGTCCCATAGGAAACCATAGTAAATGGACTGTAGTGCGTTTCTGCAAAAAGCACTAAAATAACACATGGGTGTGAATGGAGCCTAAGAGTAAAAATGTAGCAAATACTGTCAGTTAGCCAAATTCGACTGGACTTGTTCTGTAATATTGAAGATGTTTTTAGCCTCTCCAAGCTATTTGCCAGGAAGATAGTTTAGCATTTATATCCAGGTGGGTACAGTGGCGTATTTAGGTTTTGTGCTGCCCTAGGCAACACAAAAATTGCACCCCCCTTAGAGAGAGCCTGACATTGACCAACAACACCCCTGCCTCCCATCCGAGAGAGCCTTGAGAAAAAGGCACTCACCTTCACAGCTCCAAACATCCCCAGGAATGAGAGTTGGGCTGTGCATGCACCATCATGAAACCCGCAGCCTCTCTCGGAATCCACCAGGTCCCCTTGCCTCATGTGTCCCTTCTTCCAAGGGCAGTGCTGCCCCCCGAAAAGTGCCGCCCTAGGCAAATGCTTTGTTTGCCTTGTGGTAAATACACCCCTGAACGGGTAGCACCAACACCTTAATCCACTCACTATGGAATATCTAGCTGTTGATTGTCCAAGAGCAGGATGGGAGGTGTGAAAATTGTGAAACCTCCACATTCAGGTTACAAAATCCATCCGTGGTGCCAGGAAAGCTTCATAGACCTTAAAATGATTCTAAAGGAAAGAGATTTTTTTTTAAATAACAAACATGTTATACTTACCTGCCCTGTTCAATGGTTTTGCACAGAGCAGCCCTAATTTTGTACTTTTTGGGTTTCCTGCCGCAGATCCTGGCTTTTCCCTTCTGCTGAGTGCCCCCAACAGAAAGCCTCTTGCTATGGGGGCACTCAAGCAGGCTTCACAACCTTCACCTGAGATTCACACATTTTCGCATGAGATTCTACTGGAAAAATGTGTGAACCTCAGGTGAAAGTCTTGTGACTCTTGGGTAAAACATTGATACTCTAACTTCTAAATGTATAATGTTTATACCTTTTTATACTTTTTTTATATAATGTTTGTATGTTTAAATAAAGAAAAAGGATTTTGCAAATTTAGTTGACACTGCGCTTTTTGTTCAGACCGACAGCAGCTGTATTGGAGATGTTCCGATGTTGTGTCTTTCTACTGCTTCAGAAATACGGCTTCCTGACAACAGACATTCCTTTACTGACAACTATTTGTGAGGTAAATTTTACTTTATTTTTACATTGTTATTTTCTGCTTTCTGTGGAAGTGACTAAAGTCCAATGAGACCTCCTAAAGCAGAATTTCCCAACCTTTTAAGATGAAGGAACCTTGAAATAAATGTAGAGTCTCACCGAAACCCTGCCAGTCATTTTCATATCTACAGCTTATGGTTCATTAGTGTAGAGGTCAGTGAGAGAACAATGGTAGTTAGTGGGAAGAATGTTCCTCATATTCATATTTGCTGAGAAAAATGCTCCTTGCTTTAGTGACCAGTGGGCAGAATGTTCCTCACATTGGTAGTCAGTAAGAAGAATTTCCTCACATTGGTGGCCAGTGGAAAGAATGTTCCTTACATTGGGGGTCAGTGAGAAGAATGTTCCTTACATTGGTGGTCAGTGGGAACAATGCTCCTTACATTGGTGATCAGTGGGAAGAATGCTCCTTACATTGTGGTGATCAGTGGAAGAATGTCCCTTACATTGGTGGTCAGTGGGAAGAATGTCCCTTACATTGGTGGTCAGTGGGAAGAATGCTCCTTACATTGGTGGTCAGTGGGAAGAATGCTCCTTACATTGGTGATCGTTGGGAAGAATGTTCCTCACATTGGTGGTCAGTGGGAAGAATGCTCCTTACATTGGTGGTCAGTGGGAAGAATGTTCCTTACATTGGTGGTCAGTAGGATAATTGTTCCTCATATTGGTGATCAGTAGGAAGAATGTTCCTTACATTGGTGGTCAGTAGGATAATTGTTCCTCATATTGGTGATCAGTAGGAAGAATGTTCCTTACATTCATACTCTGAAGGGTCTAGGGTTGTCAGTGGTGTACCCCAAGGTTCAGTGTTGGGACCCTAATTTTTTATAATATATAAATGATATAGGGTTTGGGATTAAAAATCCCATTTCAGTCTTTGCAGATGACACCAAGCTGTGCCGTGGAATAATGTCCTTACAGGATGTTTCCAACTTACTAGCTGACCTCAATGCTCTGTGTAATTGGGCAACTATGTGACAAATGAGGTTTAATGTTGATAAATGTAAGGTTATGTACTTGGGGGCTATGAATATGCATGCATCATAGATACTAGGGGGGGGGGGGGGTACAACTGGGGGGGTCAATGGTGGAGAAGGATCTGGGGGTTCTGGTAGATCACACGCTTAATAATGGCATGCAATGCCAAGCTGCGGGTTCTAAAGCGAGCAAAATCCTCTCTTGTATTAGGAGAGGTATAGACTCCAGAGAGAGATATCATTTCCCCCGGTACAAATCATTAGTAAGACCTCATCTGGAATATGCAGTTCAGTTTTGGGCTCCAATTCACAAAAAGAACATTGGGGAACTGGAGAAAGTACAGAGAAGGGCAACCAAACTGATAAGAGGCATGGAGGAGATCAGCTATAAGGGAAGATTAGAGGAACTGAATTTATTCTCTCTTGAGAAGAGGAGATTAAGGGGGATATGATCTCCATGTATAATACATAAGGGGGGATATGATCTCCATGTATAATACATAAGGGGGGATATGATCTCCATGTATAATACATAAGGAGGGATATGATCTCCATGTATAAATACATAAGGGGGATATGATCTCCATGTATAATACATAAGGGGGGATATGATCTCCATGTATAATACATAAGGGGGGATATGATCTCCATGTATAATACATAAGGGGGATATGATCACCATGTATAATACATAAGGGGGATATGATCTCCATGTATAATACATAAGGGGGGATATGATCACCATGTATAATACATAAGGGGGATATGATCACCATGTATAAATACATAAGGGGGGATATGATCACCATGTATAATACATAAGGGGGATATAATCACCATGTATAATACATAAGAGGGGATATGATTTCCATGTATAATACATAAGGGGGATATGATCTCCATGTATAATACATAAGGGGGGATATGATCTCCATGTATAATACATAAGGGGGATATGATCTCCATGTATAATACATAAGGGGGATATGATCTCCATGTATAATACATAAGGGGGGATATGATCACCATGTACAATACATAAGGGGGGATATGATCTCCCTGTACAATACATAAGGGGGGGGATATGATCTCCCTGTACAATACATAAGGGGGGATATGATCTCCATGTACATACATAAGGGGGATATGATCTCCATTTATATAATACATAAGGGGGGATATGATGTCTATCTCCATGTATATATACATAAGGGGGGATATGATCTCCATGTATAATACATAAGGGGGGATATGATCTCCATGTATAATACATAAGGGGGGATATGATCTCCATGTATCATCCATGTATAATACATAAGGGGGGATATGGATCTCCATGTATAAATACATAAGGGGGATATGATCTCCATGTATAATACATAAGGAGGATATGAATACATAAGGGGGGTATATACATAAGATGATCTCCATGTATAATACATAAGGGGGGATATGATCTCCATGTATGTATGAATACATAAGGGGGATATGATCTCCATGTATAATACATAAGGGGGGATATGATCTCCATGTATAATACATAAGGGGGATATGATCTCCATGTATAATACATAAGGGGGATATGATCTCCATGTATAATACATAAGGGGGGGATATGATCTCCATGTATAATACATAAGGGGAGATATGATCTCCATGTATAATACATAAGGGGGGATATGATAATCCATAAGTATAATAATACATAAGGGGGGATATGATCTCACCATGTATAATACATAAGGGGGGATATGATCTCCAGGTATAATGTATAATAAGGGGGGATATGATCTCCATGTATAATACATAAGGGGGGATATGATCTCCATGTATAATACATAAGGGGGGATATGATCTCCATGTATAATACATAAGGGGGATATGATCTCCATGTATAATACATAAGGGGGGATATGATCTCCATGTATATATACATAAGGGGGATATGATCTCCATGTATAATACATAAGGGGGGATATGATCTCCATGTATAATACATAAGGGGGATATGATCTCCATGTATAAATACTCCATCAGTGGTTCATATAGTGAACTCGGTGTAGAGCTATTCACCCTGAGGTCATCACAGAGGACAAGGGGGCACACTTTACGTCTGGAGGAAAATAAATTTAATCTCCAAACACAGAAAGGTTTCTTCACAGTGAGAGCTGTGAAAATGTGGAATAGACTCCCTCAAGAGTTGGTTGTGGCCAGCTCAGTGGATTGCTTTAAAAAAGTCCTGGATTCTTTCTTGGATACACAGAATATAACTGGATACTAACATTTATAGGTAAAGTTGATCCAGGGAATATCCGATTGCCTCTCGGGGGATCAGGAAGGAATTTTTTTCCCTGCAGGAGCAAATTGGATCATGCTTTGCTGGGTGTTTTGTCTTCCTCTGGATCAACTGTGGGTGTAGGATTATAACTTTTTTTTAATGGTTGAACTGGATGGACTTTTGTCTTTTTACAGCCAGACTAACTATGTAACAATTCACATTGGATTTAAGTGGGAAATATGCTCCTTATATTGGTGGCCAATAAGAAGAATGCTCTTCACATTGGTGATCAGTGGGAAGAATACTACTTACATTGGTGGCCAGTGAGAAGAAGGCTCATTACATTGGGGGGACAGTAGAAGGAATGACACATGACACATAACACATGAATATACTTTGATCTAAACCATTCCATTGTAGCTCTGGCTGGATGTTTTAGGTTGTTGCCCTGCTGGAAGGTGAACCTCCGCCCCGGTCTCAGGTCTTTTGCAGATTCTAACAGGTTTTTTCTGCTAAGATTGCCCTGTATTTGGTTCCATCCATTTTCCCATCAACTCTGACCAGCTTCCCTGTCCCTGCTGAAGAAAAGCATCCACACAACATGATGCTGCCACCACCATGTTTCACAGTGGGGATGGTGTGTTCAGGTTGACGTGCAGTGTTTGTTTTCTGCCACACACAGCGTTTTTTTTTCTAAGATTGCCCTGTATTTGCAGCGAAAGGTGGTTCTACAAAGTATTGTCTCCGGGGGGCTGAATACAAATGCACACCACACTTTTCAGATATTTATTTGTAAAAATTTCTCTGTACACCTGATCCCTTGTGTAGCAAATGTACGTACAGAGATGGACGCGGTCATCCATCTTGCTACAGATCCTCCATCTTGTATCATTCTCTCTCTCTCCCTCCAATCCCCCTCCCTCAGGAATCTGGTCTGTATGTATGCTGAGATCGCAGGCATCAGGTCCAGCGGGGTAGCTTCATGGTTATAAACCCCAATTAGCCTGGGCCCAGTATGTCTGTGAGACTCTTGCTCTGAAGCTAATCGTAAAGCCATAAACTAGTCCTTCACTGGACTTCAAAGACATTCCTAGATAGCCGTAAAACAGACATCACATTTAAAACCCACTTTTACATATAATTTCATATCTTAAGTTAGGAAATAATTACAATGAAGCAAAGCATATATTTGGATAGCTCACTTTAATACAAGTCACTTGATACCTTACACCCCTAGATTACGTCTACCAGAGAGCAGAAAGCGATAGCTCTTGAACCGTCACAGGCAGATATGCCATATCTGATGTCTAGACGTTCAAAATATCGTTCTGCATATTATCCTACCCGTGGATAGAATGTTACATGTACCTAGGGAAGGTTATTGACCATGGTATAGCTTGCGAGGGATTTAGTCATAGCCTGAGTTCCCGCCTAAAACACCCCTGCTTAAGGAGACACCCTGCTGAGTTCCTACAAAAGAGGTTGTCAGGTTTGGAGAAGCTAAGACGAAGAGATCTCCCTTTTAACACCAAGAACCAACTTTGGGAGAAAAGGCACCCTTTTGCTCAGGACCTGTGAAGCTGCTTAAACCAAGGCTGACGGCAAATATTCTACCTCTCTAAACTTCTTTCTGTTATCTCTCTGCTGTGTTATTGCTCTCTGTATTTATATTATATATATATATTGGTTACATCTTTTTCTGTAAATACTTTTATTGCACCATTTTGACCTTTTTAGTAATAAATCTTATTTCCTGAAAAGTGTTGAACTGTTTCT